AGCGAAGCCATGGATGCCGGGGAAGTACCAGTAGGATGTGCATTTGTCCGTGATGGAGTAGTTATCGCAAAAGGAAGGAATCGCACGAACGAATTGAGAAATGTGAGTACTCGATCAACTACTCCAGAAACACCGATTGAAGATGACCCCAATAGAGCACACGACACGCTGAACTGGAAGCAATCGACTACATTCTATCAACACCATCATTGACACCAGCTCCTTCCCTTGATCCCTTGCCACTCAGTACGACAACTCTGTATGTCACCGTGGAGCCATGTATAATGTGTGCTTCTGCCCTTCGTCAGATGGGTATCAAAGACGTCTATTATGGCTGTGGAAATGAGAGATTTGGAGGTTGTGGTAGCGTGCTGACCGTCAATGATGGTGAAGATCTTAATCACCCTCCGTATCCCGCCATGATGGGATATTTACGGGACGAAGCTATCATGATATTGAGGAGATTTTACTTGACAGAAAACAAAAACGGTGAGCTGGAGTCTCAAGGCCATGTTCTTTGATCTCAAATTGCATTTTTATATTAGCACCAGTACCAAGAGCCAAGACTAACAGGGTACTGAAGACAGAGATACCTTCTCCCACCCTTCAAAGTCGCTCCCAGTCGCGTACTCCACAACAGGTGGCGACCCCGCAATCTCAGGACTAAGTGTAGTTGCCAGTGATGCTCGTGATAGAGTGTTGAACAGGCGTTATGACGAAATACACGTCCTAGTCACTATAATAACACTATAGCCTCTAATATAATTATCCCGTAATAGAATAAATGCGCAGGACTGTCCCTAGTAATCTCAATCATCGATAAAGTCCCACTTGAAACAATCCTAAATCATCCCATTAGAATAATCAAGACCTTTTTCCAAGTATGTACTTACAAAACAGTTTAATTGTGCAACAGCTTCAGGAACTTGTCTCCCGCCTAGATCTGCTTCCCAGTTTTCGGACAAGATTTGCCCAATCATAACGGCTATTGGATGATGTTTGAGCCTCAGTGACCAGTTGAACTTGGTAACAGTATCGTATACTATAACTTTGCCCAAATGACATCGTGCCTCGAGTGCATAACCTATTAGGACCTCAGCGGCTGGATAAGAGGATATTGATACGAATTACTCACCACCCTTGGCACACAGAGACCTCACTCCGGTACAAGCACCATGAGGGACAGGGTCCGCTGTATGGAAGATATGGGTGACTGGATGAAGAGAGAAAGGTTCTCGCATATCCGAATTTGAATGTGAAGAGGAAGGAGGAGGATGTGGTAGGTGTAGTCGAGCAGCAGGAAGTCGATCTCCTAAAGCCTCGAATGTTATTGTGGGAGCTCCAAAGGTGGCGCCTACTAGGCCCGAGAGACCCCCGCCAAGTGAATGACCAACGATCCAAATATTCGCGTCGGGGTACATATACGTTACGTTGTTGTACAGGTTCTATACAGTTTCGATTAGTCAGAGATGATTTACCCAGACAAATGTTTCGAACGTACAATTCCAACGCTGTAGAACAAATCATCGTCTTGGAGAGACTGCTCAACACACGATTGACCGCATGTCCATCCACCATTAAAACAGTCACAGACGGTAGAAAAGGCCCAGGGCCAGGATACATGAGCACAACAACAACTGTAGCAAGTTTTAGCTTGAGAATGACACGAACAGAGGCGCCATACCTGAACAAGCGGTTATCATTTAGCTTATCTCTCCCTGCTGTAGGTCCCTGTCCATATAGGGACGTGCCTTTGATTGATATGACGACGGTAGAATTGTCGTTTGCAACGAATATATTGCCACGGAATCCATTATCTTCACGGTCCCAACCAAATGGGGTACTTCTATTCCATCTTCCATCAGTACTGTACCAGTCTTTGCTGTCTGGTTGAGCATAGGCGTTTCCCGTCAATTTTGCCAGTTCGAGTACAGTAAGACGGTCAGAGAGATCTGGTGAAGGGATCTCCTTCTCCTCCCATTCCAGAGAAGCGGATTCTCGGAATCGTAGGGACCTCAACCGGGCCTGCTGATACTCGTTTGGATCTTTAGCGCGTTGGATTCGCTGAGGGACCGTACGGATACGGCCTGGTGCCAATCCTGCGGCCGTATAGTCACCATCTAGTTCAAGAATCTGCAACAAAGTATCGTCTGGTGCATTGAGATTATCGTTGAATAGGATTTGTGGAGGGCGGGGAGAATTGGTCAAGGCATCGGGCTGCGGTCTAGGGTCGGTCACGAACGCATGACGATGGCTAAACACCAGTTCTGTCGCTGGACCCGTTTGGCGGTTCAGAGGACTCTGTTGATCACGAGAAAACGGCCATAAAAAGGGTAAAAAAAGTCCTAGACGTCCGACATACATCTAGCCAGTCAGTGGCAGAAGGCCAAGAGGGGCGACAAAGCAAGCGAACGTTCATTGTTGCCGCAGCCCCAGCGTCACCCACAGACATCCGTCTGGCGGCAACTCCCAAGCAGCGCTCCTTCTGGACAACTTGGAGAAGGATAACCAACGTCTGCTGGGGATGAATGGCGTATCACGGTTCATACCCAAGACAAGCACAAGGCGGGAGGAGCAGGCCATGGAGTCCCCCAGTCTATGACAACTCGAGAGGCCATGTGGGGAATATTGATCATTATCTGGCCCATTCCTCGCATGGTTGGGGCAACGCCAGGGCGTATGGCCAGGATGGTGACGATCCAGCGATGGCCTACGAAGACGCGTTTAGGCGGCACCAAGGAAACTTGAGAGCTGCCTACGAACCAGAGTATGATAGCGGTCCGTACTATCTCACTTCTACGAGACATCAACGAAGGGATCCTTCAGACATTTCGGTTGATGCTCTGGACTTGGCTGATTATGCTCGGACACTGCGGAGGGCAGATGTGGCTCAGAATGATCCCTATCCTCCCTTTCCACCTTCTGCAGTACGTCCATTTTCTCGTGAACCCTGGTCGCCAATTCCTAGTCCAGGTCTCTCCCCTCAAGAACGAAGTCCTCCCCCCCGGCGGACTTTTTCACCACCTTCCTTACCATTCCCACCTACCGAAGCCGCATTGGTAGATCGTCCATTTTCTGCAATGTCTCAGGATACTATGATGGCCCCCCCTTCATTAGTCTCAGCTGGCACAACCAGTCACTCGAGTCACACAAATGCCACTTCAATCAATTATCCCAACCGAAGACCTTTCTCTTTACCAGCAGACTATGGTGTCCCTCGGGGGCCAGCTATCTTCGCCGCCCGCTCTCCACCGCCTTCCGCGAGGGCAATCGGGACAGGGAGGCAGGTTCACCCGGATGCCGTAGAGATGGACCTCGGTACAGCCGATGTCGACGTTTCCTCGTTCCCTCCATGGGCTCGCAAATGGTACAAACAAGAGCAAGAATCAGGCAGAGCCGCTGGAACAGGAAAGAAAGGCAAAGGCCCTGAGTATCCACGCTCGCCTGTTGAGGAGGAAATCTTTGGGCCCTATATTCACCCTAATGAGTCACAAAGAGACTTGGGTCTATTGCCATGGACATCTGGCAATCCGAACGACGAGCCCCAAGGCGTGAATACAGTTCCCGATAACGTCAAGGAGGAACGTATACGAATGCTTGAACGGGAATTCGGAAATAAGGGCAATAGCCGCGGCTGGAAACAAGGTGACGCTGATGAAGGCATCGTAGGCAGTGTAGACGCCAAAGGCAACCTCATTACCGCTGGTCCCAAGAAACGCGCAACCATGCGATGGCTACAAGCCATCTTTGCCATTGGAACAGCAGCCAGTGGTATATATGGTGCATTGGTATGCATATTGATCCTTTTATATAGGAATGGCTGATTGACCTTTTGTCCCTTAACAGTTTATCAAGCTCAAGTCACCTGCACCTCCATCCGGACGCGTCGCTGCATACATACTCTATGTCCTTTCTATATTGACCCCTCTTCTTCTCTTCTTCTTCTTTGTGATCACTCCGCTTTGCCTCCGACGCAATAAAGATCAAGACCCCAATAATACAAACCCCGCTGGCATGATGGTCTTACCAGTCGCACAACCAGCGGCCAGCGGAAAGAAGAAGAAAGGAAAATGGAAACCTGGGAAAAATGGACCCGAAAATGGTAACGGAAGCGTTCAGGTCAATCTCATAGTTGATCCTGGAATGTTCAATACTGGCACTGGAAGAGGTAGAGGGCCACCCGGCCGATATGATGATGAAGACTATAACGAAGGCTCGGAAGAGGAGTCTACACACCCATCATCTCGTCGAAAAGGCCGCCGAAGAAGACGAGATGATGACGGGGACTCTAATGATGAAGAGCGGGCTCCCCCGCCCCGAAGGCGGAGCATATTCACTGGGCTCGCGATGGAGCGAGCGTGGCGACGCGCTCGTCAAGATCTCAAAAAGCGCACTGCCTTGGACATCGTGTTGACCATCTTGTGGACGGGGTGTTTTGTGATGATCATGTTAGGCCAAAGATGTCCACCTGGTACATTGGACGGGTGGTGCGATGCATACAATATTGCTACTGCATGTGCCAGCGTCTTAATCGTACTCTTTGGGACCAGCGCATTCTTTGACATCAAAGATTTGCGCGAGAGCAAAGTCTCACCAAGGACAAGGACTTGACCCCCCTGCCACGATACCTCACTCCCTGCTCAGCTTATATAATGGCAACAACTCGCGTCATTACATCATCATTTATTCGTCCAGTCTATCCATATCTTCTCTAATCGTTCTGCATCACTTCACATACTCGGACTAGTCACACACCCCCGGCATTTCCTGACCTTATCTATGACCATATCCCCCCCCCCCTCCCCGGATTTATCTCAGGCTCTCTTGAATCGTTCTTTTCTCGTTAGTCTACCGCTTCATATGCTACTCAATTGAGTAGTAACGACCATCTTTTCACCCTTTGTTCACGACAATATAACGAGTTTCATTCTTATATTCCAGGGTGTGCCTATGAACGGTGTGCAACATTAAATAAGGCGTGGTACATGGACTCCAACTGTCTATGAGTTTGCAAACGAACTGTCTCCAGTCTCCGCACCATCAGCCCATCCCAAGAGCTTGCGCATCTCTCGGACACCGACAGGACCACTAACCTCTTCTCTAGCTATGGCCTCACAAACTGCCTCTCCGACGTGGTCCACATGTATAGGGGGTATCGTAGCCGCTCTTTCAATTGATTGTATATGGCCATCGAGTTGTTCGTTCTCCTGTCCGTTCGACTTATGCGGCTTTGTAATATTAGATAGAATAGAAATAGGTGATAATACTCCTAGGGTAGAATGAATACCTCCCATCACTTCGAGCGCAGTGGCTATTGGAGCTGATATCGGTCGAAAGTGTGGATGGTAGATGAAGCCTGACAATCAATCATTAACGTGCATCTCAACCCGAGGTGTTCCGACATACTAGGTCTAATTGATATACTTCGTACTGGAGGGGTGGCCTGGGAGCACAGCTCCATCAACGCCTTTTCTGCCTCTCGCTTTGAGCTAATGTATCCAGACGGGATAGCAGGGCGAAAGACATCTTCTGCGGAGATATATACGAACGTCCTTGGAGATTTGGAGGCTGATTGATCCGCTACAAGAGGGGGCGTTGCAGAGAGGAATGTCTTGCAAACTGCAATAGCTGCTTGATTGTCAATACTTGACCGAGAAGAGGCAACTTTTACGCACCAGTGTCTCTATTTACATTCAAATAGCTTCCTTTTGATGCTTTATTCAAGGGGTTTTCCCCTTGTAAGTTGTCACGGAGCGCTTTCACACTAGCGGCTGTGACACCAAAGGGGTCGCTTCTTTGAACAGAACGCTTGTATCCTTCGGTTTCCAAAAGGGTCCCTAGTGTATGTACAATTGCATTTGAAGATGATACTAGAGATTTGTAGGATTCAGGATCCAAAGCTGAAGCAGAGTGCCATTCCACTTTTTCTGTCCACGCAGGGAGATGCCCATTCGGCGTTGTGAATGGCTTTCCTGATTTGCTGAGAAGAATTTGAATTAAAAAGTACGGGATTTTTTTATTCAATAAATGGCCTACCTTATACTTTGGACTTTCCAACCTCGTCGAACCGCCGACCGGCAAACAGCTGAACCTGTTTCCCGTTCAATACCTGTCACAAGAGTACGTATACAGCATTAACGTACCAACGAAGCCATTCCCGCCGACTACGAAAACACTAACAGTCATGGTGGGATTCAAGGTGGAGGCTAAGCAACTCGACCCACAGAATGGAATGATGCAATGGGCACTGCTTTTATCTTAGACGATATTATCTTGTTTTTTTTTATTAACATATAAGTTATAAAGAACGCCCACAATGAGCTTTAAAGGACTAGAAACGCTCCTAATCACAAGCTTTCTTATCGTGAAGTCCCTGGTCTGAATCTTGAATTACTGGGCAAAGGAGGTGGACCCATTGGAACTCGTTTTTGCGGGGTAAACTGAGGAACATTCCGTATAGTTTCACTCGAAGTGGATGTATGCGGTTTATATGTCACGGAATCAGAATTTATTCGAGAAGGCGGCATAAATCTTCTGGATCCTGTCTCGAATGCAGCATGATTTAATTGAGAGCTTCTATTTTCATGCCTATTGGGCCGTTGTTGTGTCTGGGAGATATCAGTAGTAGTAGAAGTGACGAAGTTCCCAACTGCAGGAAGACTCCTTTCAGGTGGTGACCTCTTGGCAAATTGTGGACCTTCATTTC